AACACACACACGGGCACTAGCGCCTGAAGAGAGGACACACACGGGCACTAGCGCCTGAAGAGAGGACACACACGGGCACTAGCGCCTGAAGAGAACACACACAGGCACTATTATGGACCGCTACAATAGGCAAAACCACTGTAAGTGCTGTCTATTCATGTTTATTAAATTACCATCAGTTTGGAGATCTTTTTAATTTCTTTTGTTCTTGTAGCTGCTAAATACAATCATCACTAAAGCCAAAAACTTGTCTGCCTGCTACCTTAGAATTTTCATTGAATAAGTATCTGAGAATATGTTTAGGATAAAATATGGGCTTATTCTACACTGTCAGTATCTGTGTTCATGTGTGTTGGGACCAATGTTATTGTAAACTAAAACGGTAACGAAAACTAAATAAAACAATAATTTGTGAACTCAAATATAAAATTATAAAAACTATTTACCAAAACAACAAATCGGAGTTTAAACTGCAAGAAGTATTGCTACACCACAAATGTCTCTTGTTTAATGACAATATCACCTCTTTTAAAAGATGTTGCGGCTGTCGAAAGTCCATTTCTTCACCACAACTTCAGGGCCTATTGCTTCCATGGTATAACAAAACAGTTGCATGTGGCCCTGCTCCGTCAAGCAAATTCATTAAATATCACAATGAGCCTCTCATTAATATTTCAAATGTACTACTTCTCTGCTTCTCGAACTGTAGGCGTAATGTCCGTATCGTCCCGAAAAACCGGGGTCCATTATCAAAAGCCCTGCAATAACATACATATAAAATCAACTTCAATGCCGGAAAATTTATCATTTGAATCGGCGAATCGGAAAAAAATGGTGGACAGATTAATAGAGAGAAAAGCAGCTGTTAGTGGCAGCCCAACATATAACAATTGTAACATCCACAGAGAAAATGGGTCAAATATTGCAAATTCACTACGAGATACTTAGACTTTTCAAGGTAAAAAAAAACGCTCGATTCCATATCAAAATCACAGGACAGTGAAACACTAGTTTTGTATTTGGTTTAAAAAGGAGTTTCAATAATTCTTGCGTATCCATGACTAATTTACAATGAGCTTGATAGCAGCTTTCACAGAAAATCAGATTTATAATAAATGAGAGCAAAAGGCATATTGATTAATCAGTGTTTACTGTAATTATTTTTGTATTTCAGTAAGAAAGGAAAGCGTTAAAGACACCATACCATTTATAAAAGTGAAATATATGTAACTTTTTAGGTATCGATTGCAGTCCAGCATGTATGTGTCTGGTCTCATCAATAGCCACGGCGGTCAGGCGAGCGGTTTGTTGTCTGCGGCAGACCTACACCAGCTACACCAGCTCACTGTCCTCACACTGTGAGACACACTTCAAAGTATCTCCATGCTGGGGGTATAAATAGCATTAAGTCACACTCAGAATAGCATCATGTGCGAATGGGGGAGGGGCACGAGGGGTTTGCTTTACTCCCGGCAGGGACGGTTGAACAGTCATTACAAAGAAACCTGGACGGGGGGGTGGGGGGGGGGCAGGTGGCTAGCAAACGTGCCACAGCACCACCTTTCATATTCATCCACCTGCTGCTAGTCACATGACTAGAAGCATTGTTTAGGAGCTGAGGTTTGATACGATCCAGTGAATCGAGCACGTTAAGAGCTATACTGAAATGCGTGATGTGGTCGGTCACATGGGCTTCATTTCAGCAGCTGCCTTAAACAAGCCTTTAGAAATAAACATTTTGGACAGATTTTTTACCATCCTCAAGTAGGGTGGAACTAAGGCAACTATTAAAATAGGCTGAACTGTAGTTCATTCTGGATTACAAGTCACTGAAGTTTTATAAGAGAATCTAAGAAATATCACGTTCCTTACTGGATGTGGACATCAGGCAACTGTTTCATACAATTCCCAGTATGCATTTCACCACCATCTAGGCCACTATTGGTTCTTGCAACACCCAAACAAGAGCAGGGATATTCCAAATTTGGAACTGTCACTACTCATAGGTGCCCCCTCATCGCACAACCTGCACATGAATTCCGGAGAAGCAAAAACAAGCGCAACCCACTGCGAAGACTGTAGCAAGGGTGTGCCATTTTCTATGATTTCATTTGTTAGGTCTCTTTTACAAATGACAAGGGTACAGGGGATGGCATCCCTCAGCTGTTACTCAGCATTACTCAGACCCCAAGAGGCATATAACACAAGCTTGTCTATGTCCTCTAATGGTTGTGGCCCACATCATATTCAAAACTCTAAACAGCCACAATTTAAGGAATTCGTGTGCAACATTGCAGGAAGCTGGGAACTGAACATGAACAGTAACAGCTACTGCAATGTTGATATTTTTAGTAGTTTTAGTGGACATTTTTGTTAAACATAAAAACCGTTATTAGGCTGTTAAAGATTTCAGATAATTTAATTCAGTTTTATTTACTGATAATTGCAACAGTCCTGGTCACAACTGCAGTGCAAAACTAAACATCTTTCACGCCTTTTTAAATCCAAAATTAAGACAAACTGACATGAGATTTTCTTCCAACTTTTATTCTTACACATCATAACAAGCTGAAAACAAAAACTCCAATTTACTTAAAGTAAATTACATAAATTATACAAAATGACACTGGGTTAGAAAAGCATCTTTTTATTCCATAACACCTTTTTGCACAGATGTCCACCAGCATCGTACACATATATTTCGGAAATATATTTGAGGATTCCTCCAAAGAAGAATGTTCGGGCAAAGTCACATTTTGAAGAGACTGCTTGGAAACTTCCTTCAAATCCCTGGAAGGTTTTCACAGTCAGACTACGCCACTTGGAGCATTTCCGTTTTCCCTCCTTAGTCACTTTGCTCAGCCATGTCAAAGTCTGTCTTTTATTGTCAGCTTCAGAAATATGATGCACAAAGTCACACATTGAGCTGAAGTTGTCTTTCTTCTTGGTCGTAGTGCAAATGATAAATGACACACAAATATAATACAGGACAGGACTTTAAGATTGGTGGGGAAGATCATGCAAAGTGGTAAAGAGGTTTGGCACTGACAATGTGCAATAAATAAGTGGATTTATATGTAGTGTTGTGAGTTGAGAGCTATAAGGCCTATTAGCAGAGCCAGACTGGGAGGGGTCTGATCAGAGCTATAAGGCCTATTAGCAGAGCCAGACTGGGAAGGGTCTGATCAGAGCTATAAAGGCCTATTAGCAGAGCCAGACTGGGAGGGGTCTGATCAGAGCTATAAAGGCCTATTAGCAGAGCCGGACTGGGAGGGGTCTGATCAGAGCTATAAGGCCTATTAGCAGAGCCGGACTGGGAGGGGTCTGATCAGAGCTATAAAGGCCTATTAGCAGAGCCAGACTGGGAGGGGTCTGATCAGAGCTTTAAGGCCTATTAGCAGAGCCAGACTGGGAGGGGTCTGATCAGAGCTTTAAGGCCTATTAGCAGAGCCGGACTGGGAGGGGTCTGCCTTTCAGCAGCCAAACAGTCTGAGGGAAAAATGGCTTTTGAGCCTCACTGTTCTGGGTTGGAAGCTGCAGAACCTCCTAGCAGGTGGCATTTGAGATGAGAGTTTGTGTGGGGGGGCTGCCAAATGTCCAGCAGAGATGGCAGAGTGGTCCGGAAAATTCTCTTCCGATTTACTGATCTGCTGGAAGGACTAGCAGTCTAAGGTGTATATACATTATGTAATAATTTAACAAAATGTAACAAATTTGATCACATAATGCAGTTTTATTACATGTTGTATTACAATGCATTATGTAACACAATCTATTAACTTAATTTACAGCGTGTTTCTGTAATCATTTTGGGTGAATTCTGTCACACTTAGAATATCAGGCAAAAGTGCACGACTTCCCCAGCTTGCTCGATTCCTCCGCTGTCGTCTGCATACTTCATGATGTGATGGGCGGGGTTCCCAGGGGGAGCAGTCGCATGTCCAGGGTGTGACTGGTGGGGGACTGAGGCAGCAGCCTTGGGAGTTCCTGTGCTCAGTCTGATTTTAGCCAGGGTGACGACCCCTACCTGACAGACTGAGGTCTCTGCAACAGGACCCTGGACTTCGTGACATAGTAATGTTTTCAGACCAAGCCAGCACAGCTTTTAGATCAGTTGTTGACGTATTTGTGTTGAATGCCAATCTAAAATTGAAAAGCAATCTTACACGAGTCTTTATCATCCAGGGGTGTCAGGGTGGTGTTTAATGCCAAGCTTATGCTTATAGCATCTTCTGTGGATCCGGTTTTCTTTAATGTGTCCCATGACCAGCCATTCAAAATACTTCATTATGGTTGAAGGCAAAGCTATTGGTCGACGCTCATTTAGTGCTGAAACATTCTTCTTAGGCACTGGTGTAATCTTGCTGCTTTGGATTACCTTCTTCAGATTTTCACCAGAACACATTTCGCCTTGAGGTTAAGCAGTTCGCCGGCCCCTCCTACACAGAATGGGTCTTCAGTTACCATAGTTCATCACCACCTTCATGGTAAACTTCATCAGCACTGTAGCTGGCAACTTCACACAATTTCTCATTCTCATTTGGTTGCTCAGTTTGGAACAGAACACTGATACTTTATCAGTCCCCGTGAGGAAGTTCTCATTTTGCCTACTCCAACTTGCCCTCCATGAGACGGCCAAGCTTGGGGGTCACAGCCTAGGGTCAGCCAGCATGCAGCACCCCTGAGCAGTTAAGGCATAAGGGCTTAAGCGGTTACGTTACTGGATGGATGGATGGGCCTTGCTGAAGCTTCCTCTGGTGGCTTCAGTCTGCTGGCCTTGGGATTTGAACCAATGCATTTCCGTTCACAGGCGGAGCGTTTCGACAGGCAGAGACACCCACTTCCCAGGCTGTTACCACCAGATCCTGGATGTGTCTGGATTTTGCAACACACCCCCATTCTGTAATAATGGGTGACAACCATGTTCCCGGAAAAGTATAAAGCCATATAGTTTTGTTTTTCATAACGTTCAGTTCTCTCCCAGCTCACCAACAATTATAAGACCACAAGTTCTATGGACAGTTCATTATTTATCATGACAGTGTGACCGAGTTGCCCCGGCAGTCAGTACTACTTGCCACAAAGACTTAAAAATGTTGATTCCAAATCAAAAATAAAGTATACATACATAAAGAATGTATAAATGTCATACTATAATGCAATAACTGAATCAAAGTTTCGGGCTTATTTTTGATTTTAAAATGACACTGAATTCGCATAATAATTAGAAAAAAAAATCTGCAATTCCAAACTCTGTGGTGTTAAAGGTCAAACTAAGACAATGTATGAATGAAGCACTCTTACAATATGCAAACTTATTTTTTAGAATAAATTTTTTCAGAATGTATACCTTGTTCCTATTGCAGATGTACGTAGGAGATATTTTTTAATAGATATTTTATGGATACAGTGGATATAAAAAGTATTTTTTAAACACCCGTGTTAAAATGCCAGGTTTTTGTGATATAAAAAAAAAAAATAGACCAAGATTTAAATTTATTTCCCCACATTTAATGTTACCTATAACATGCACAATTCAGTTGAAAAAGAAACAACTCAGCACGGCCGAAAACTAAAACTGTCAAAGCACCTTTTCATTTAATTACAGCATTTAGTTGTTTTGGGTACACACCTGCCATCACTTAAGGTGTTCAGTTGTCCTAGTAGGATTTTCCTGACATTTACACTGTTGCATCCTACAGCAAAAGCCATGGTTTGCAGAGAGCTTACAAAGCATCAAAGGGATCTCATTGCTTAAAGGTATCATCAGTCAGGAGAAGAGTACAAAAGAAATCCATGGCATTTGACATACCCATGGAACACAGTGAAGACAGTCATCACGGTGTGGAGAAAATGTGTGACGTTACCAAGAACTGGACGTCCCTCCAAAATTGGTGAAAGGACAAGATGAAAACTGGTCAGAGAGGCTGCCTAGAGGCCTAAAGCAACACTGAAGGAGCTGCAGGAATTCCTGGTACACTGTACATGTTTGCCGCAAAAACAGCACTGCACATCACTAAGAGTACACAATACCCACGGTGAGGCATGGGGGGGGGCAGCAGGCTTTGGGCTTGTTTTTCCTTCAGCTTGAACTGGGGCTTTAGTCAAGGTGAAGTGAATTATGAAGAGTTACAAATGCCAATCAATTTTATACCAAAACATTCAGGTGTCTGCAAGAAAGCTGAAGATGAAGAGGAATTTCACCTTTCAGCACGACAATGATCCCAAGCATGCATCCAAATCAACAAAATAATGGCTTTACCAGAAGAAGATTAAAGCTTTGGAAAGGCCCAGTCAGAACCCACACTTATGCAACCATCTCATTGTACACTTTGTTTTTTACATTTCCCCCCCCAACAGATTTATATTGAATTGTACAGGTTATAGGTCACATTAAAGGCAGGAAATGTTTTGAAATTAACTATTATTGTGGTACACTTTTTATATCCACTGTATATGCTTACATACACACATGTACATCCTATATATCGCACTATACAATTTCACAGTTAATGCCAGCATAGCACTCTTTCGAACTTGATGGGTGACTCTTAATACCAAGAACACGAAGATCATATTGTGGTCTTTGCAAGACTGGTCTAACTTGAATCCAAAGAACGCACTTGGGGCACAATGAATTATGGGATTGGTCTAACTTGAATCCAAAGAACGCACTTGGGGCACAATGAATTATGGGATTGGTCTAACTT